GGTAATGTCCACAGTACATGTATAATATCAATGTGTACTTGTAAAAACCGCCTTGAGGCGTGAAAGATGGACGGTGTGTGGTGCTGTGCAATGATCATCAGATCAAAGGTGAAACCCGCCACTGCTGTGGTCTGTAAAAGCCGTTGTGTCCTTGTGCAAGAAGACACTTCTCCTGTGGGTATTGTCCACAGTGACCATTGCATGTATACAAAATATGTGTATGTTTATTGTGTAAAGCGCTTGAGCATCTGGAAAAAGCCGCTATAATAAATTGTAAGGAAATTATTATTATAATATTTATACTTGATATACACCAGCAGGCCGGACTCTTTAAGTAGAGACACTACATACTTGATATACATCCTGAAACATCAGCAGGAGAGGACTCTTTAAAGTCAGAGCACACTACATACTGATATACCCCTGAACATTAGCAGGAGAGGAGGACTCTTTAACGTAGAGACACTACATACTTGATAATACACCTGAACATCAGCAGGAGAGGACTCTTTAAAGTAGAGACACTACATACTGATATACACCTGAACATCAGCAGGAGAGGACTCTTTAAAGTAGAGAGGACTCTTTAAAGTAGAGACACTACATACTGATATACACCTGAATATCAGCAGGAGAGGACTCTTTAAAGTAGAGACACTACATACTGATATACACCTGAACATCAGCAGGAGAGGACTCTTTAAAGTAGAGACACTACATACACCTGAAACATCAGCAGGAGAGGGACCCTTTAAAGTGGAGACACTAACATACTGATATAACACTTGAACATCAGCAGTAGAGGAATATGAATGGACCTGTGGGGCATCTAACTTGTTCAGGTAATGACCTGAACAAGTTAGATGCCACCCACTGGCGGCGCTAGGGGGTGGCTACTTGGGCTCAAGCCCCGGATGTTTTCTGAAAAGCCCCGAATGTTTCACTAAAAAAAAAAAAAAAAAAATCCATTTTTTTTTTTTTTTTTAAACGTCTCTGGAGTAATGTGCAGTACCGGAGTCCACCAGAGAAGCATCCGCTGCGGGACATTAGCCTGCGTACTGCGTAGCCTGCCCTGAAGTAGAAGTGATCCTTCCTAGTGCCTGACGAGTTTTAAGCTAATAGCCTATAGGCCTACAGTTATAGATATTAGAAAGTTATTGTCATCGAAGCAGGCGCCACAAGCTGCAGCAGCAGCAGTATCAGCAGCTGACAACAATGTCATCACCAGCAGTGAAGAAATTGATAATGTTTCAGGTTTGTGAATCTAATGGTGATATCTACTAGGGCTGTCCCGAATACCATTTTTTGGGCTCCGGATATTCGGTAGTAATCAGCAGCGAATATTCGAATATTCGGTGCGGAGAGATTTTTTTTCTTTTCAAAAAAATGTCATAACACGCTCCGAGACACCTGACAACACGCTGTTAAGCAGAAGCGCAGAAAGAGCATAGGCCTACTATTACGATGTATATGTATTTATTGTCTCAGTACTCGCATACATTAAAACTAAATGTGTCCTCTGCATTTAACCCAGCCGTAGCGCAGCGCCCGGGAACCAAATCCGGTTCCAAATTCCGTCTATAACGTTTTACAACCTGAAGATAAAAAACACATATTTCATATTATAACAACACTACTTTTAATAACAGCCGTAACAGTAGGCCTAACAGGGTAACACTTGTTACCGATACAGTAAACAGTATTTAAATAAATGAAGAACGAAAAATAAATAAACAAACTGTATGCCAATAATTGCCTTAGCCGCAGATGTTCCCACATTGCTCCTATTATTTTCACTATTTGGATCAATTTGAAAAACTAATACAAAAAACAATTCGCTTGCTTGCAACTATTTTCCAAGCAAAGTAAGAGCACGATTTTATCATGTGTAACGTTACGGTTTAAACGGCGGATAAAGCAGCTTCATCATGGCAATTTGACAACAGCTAAGCTAAGCTAGGCTAGTACTTACAGCATCCGGTGACTTTTCAGAGTGTTGATGCCACCGGCCAGTTTCATTGTCTCATATTTGGCACCACTGCCTTCTTCTGAGCGTCGTCCAATTTAAAATGGTCCCACACAGCCGGAGTCTTCCGGCATTTTCTGTATTCAGGTGTGTGAAATGAGGTGAAGCGTACCGTATTGCGTTCGTGACTGTGAATGAACGCGAGGTCAGGAGCACAGGCTGAGATTGTATATATTTCCGCATTTTAACAGTGCAATTAAAAAGATAAAATATAGTATAAGAATATGGCAATTCGCCTTTATTGATAGCAATACATTTAGGGAAAAAAATTAAATAAATAGAACAATTTTTTTAAAAACATATGCCGAATAATGAAATTGAAACCCCGAATAGTTGGCCAACGAACGAATATTCGAATAGTCGAATATTCGGGTACAGCCCTAATATCTGCACTCTGGCTGACTGAGTAAGAAGTGAAAAAAGAGTGATGTGACGTTAATGTTATAGCTAGTACACATGGAGTAACCACCACTATACCCACAAGTATACCCTTGTGTTAGTATTAGGGCTGCACGATATTGAAAAAACTGACATTGCGGTTTTTTGTACCCTGCCTATATATATTGCGTTTTTTTTAAACCTGTTAAGCCCCAAATGTCCCGGCGGGTTACTTTACCTTTTTTATACGATACAAACCATTTTTACCAAAACAAAACACAAGTCTCATAAGAAGCATCTAAATGACCCCTGAGGCGAAAAATGCTAACGGACTTTGGCACAGAACTCAAGATAAAAGACCCAATTACTTATCGTAGCTGCACATACAATATCTCCGATTAAAGCTGAGGTTCCACAGATTATTTAGGTATATAGTATCATCACTGAGTGATCCAAAACTCGTGACAGGGGAAGCAAACACAGACATCACAACACGTACCTTTACGGAGCTTCTAGGGGAGATCGTCTCACCGTAGCTGTCAATCTGATCAAAAGACGTGTTCACTGGCATTAAAACCAGGAAAAACGCGGCTGAATCGGTTACTCCATAGGTTTTTAACATCTCTGTATACAAAATATTATTTCATTTATAATCCATAATTCCATTTTTTATGTAAAAATCGCAGAGCAAAAGTTAGCTGCTAATGGTTACCACCAGAGTGGCTGCTGCTTCCGGTCACACATTACCAAATAAGGAGTGAGAGTGACACGTAGCCAAAACCGGAAGCTGCATACACTCTGGTAGCTACCATTAGCAGCTAACCTTTGTGCTTCGATTTTTACATAAAAATGGAGTTATGGATTATAAACAATTGCTTCAAAGCCACATACATTATTAACCTATGGATCAACCGATTCAGCTGCGTTTGTTCTCGTTTTAATGCCATTGAACACGTCTTTTGATCAGATTGTTCTCCAGTGCCTTTTGTCTGCTTTAAGGTGTTATTAAGGTAGGGTTAATGTTGCTCTCAAAGTGCACCAGATTGATGCTTTCACTTCAATATTTAAAACAAATCTTCCCTGGGGAGCATGCCCCCGGACCCCCCAAGAGGAGGCGACGACCCCCCCTAAAGGATGTTTGGTCCACCCCAGGCAGGGGTAGCACTGTACCCCTGCACCCCCCCCCCCCCCCCAACAACTCCTGGCTAAGCCCCGGATCTCCTACAATCCTAAATCCGCCACTGATGCTGCCTATCACAGCGCACTGAGATTTGTTACTATTTGTAAGCACTTACTCACACTGTACCCTGTATGCCAGGGCAGGTTGCCTTCACTTACTGTACGGAGGCTCAGTCATCGTAATGGTACATGTTCCTCTATAAGCCATGTTGGGTAAACTCCCATCTTACATCTCTCTGATCACACATGGAGTTACATATGCCAGGCAAGGACTGACTTTAGGTACGAAGCTTTTATGTGCGCAGCTCCTCCTGCTTGGAACAGTCTTCAAACAGATTGAAACTGAGGCAATTGGGTTCCACTGCATGTTTTTAAAGCTCAGATAGGTGCAAATGCATATTTGATACTGTTTATACTTGTTCAATGTCGATAGGTATGTAGATGTAGCCCTGTAAATATGATGTCCTTATTGTTTTCTGTTGTTTTACGTTTTCTGTTGTAACCTACTTGCTGCAGGTCTCCCTTGGAAAAGAGATAGATGATCTCAATGGGTCCACCTGGTTAAATAAAGGTTTGAGATGAAATGCCACCTGGTAAGTTAAGACCTTCGTCAAGTGGCCCGATCTCCTTATCTCTCATCCACTTTCCTCCTTTTTTGGGGGTTTCCCTATATGCTCTCGGCTACATTTCCCCCTTTAGATATACGATTTCAGGATCGGGGTCTAATCACCAAAGACTTAACATTTATCTATGACATGTGTCAATAAATGTTCTTTAAAACTAAATGAAGTCTCTCCTGATTGAAATAAAAAACCTGTCTGAAAATTGATCAACATCTATTTTTAGTCTTCAAACACTCCCAGAGCCCATACCTTGTTCCTCTTTGTGTTTACTTCCTTTTTGTCTTGGTTCTATCAGGAAGTTTCGTGCTCTCCATAAATATACAAATGAATATTCAAAAAGGAGGATCACTCCAGCTACTCTGGCCTGCAATAGTCTACTTGTGAGAAGCACTGGTACAAATGCTTGTATAACTTTACACGTTAGGGCCATGTAGCTGATAAGTAGCATATCATAAATATAAAATCGGAAAGTATTTATCAAATGCACAGGCAGCTGTGTTTAGACCCAGTTTGATAGTAAAGGATGTATCCTGGTTTAATTCATCTGGCCTCATTGCTGTGATGTGTAATTGACGTGGATTTAATAGTACCGCATAGTTAACCCTGTAAGGACCCCGGTTGTAATTTTACAACATTACTTTAAGCTATCCTAAAAGAGTCAGTACATGTTTTGTTTTGTTAAAGGCTACATTTACATAGTACATTCAAAAGGTCCTTTTGTTCAGCCTCACTATGCTATTTGGTATTAAACGTGTGTATAGGTCCTGCCCTCTGGCCATACACTCACACAACTTCCGCATCTTCAAACGAGCAACACCTCTTTGTTTTATTGGACTGGATTTGTCAGATTCAAGTAAGTAAAATGCCTCAAATGTTTTTTTGTTGTTGTGATTATTACAATGCCTAGAACATGTACATATTTAGTTATTGTGGAATACATTCATCAAATTTGATTTTGAACAGCTTATGTCTTTGTTGCAATATTACGTACCTGGGTCAGTGTGGTCAAAATAGCTTGAGCACCTGTCATGGACCCCGCCCTTCTTATATGTTCACATATGGAAATAAACACAAATAGAAATATAATGTCTTTGATGATTCACTATAACTAAGTTATAAATGTATAAGATTTTGAATTAAGACCAGAATTGAATAAATTACATTATTTCTGATAGCAGTATGTGAAATTGTATCTCATCAGTTAATTAGTTACAAAAACACATTTAACTCTTCTCTGGTTCTGGCAAAAACAGTTATTTCTGAAATGTGTTGAGACACTTGGATGAATCCCTTTTAGTGTGATAATTAGCCTGTTAGCATTAGCCAGACAGCATTGTGTGACTTGTTGAACTGGTTTACCTGCATGTGTGCGTGTAGGCAGGCCGCCCGTCAAACAATGCAGCGATTCTGTACTGTGGTCACCTCAGCCGTCTCTCGCTTTAGTTTTTTCAAATCTGCAGCTCTTCGTCCCCTGCTATATTTGATGAGCGAAACAAATATTTGTTACCATAAGTTCTTAATAAAACTGTCACTGTTGGACTCAGTACTAGTTTGACTGCTACCAGAAAAACAATGAAGTACTTTTACTGTGTACTTTGTGAGTACGTGACGCGACGCAGACGCACCCGGTGGAATCGAGGGGTTAGGGTTAGGGCCCAGGCCTCAAGAGGTTACATCTCCTAAGAATGTTGTCCATTTTAGACATATGCTTATTATATTTACAGCCCTTAATAACATTCGTTTTCTTGGCTCAATGTGTGTCTTGGCCTTTTTCATTGGGATGGTTAAATTCACCTTGTTTTCCCTTGTGTATAATATTATCACCGTTCCTTCAACAGGATACTGTAGTGCGTTAAAGCAAGTGTACACACAAACTGAAAGATTGACAATAAGGTGGCTGTGACTTGATATCCTTTTACTTCTGGCAATTGCATTTACTCTTCAAAAATCTTAAAGTGGTGTTAATATGTGCAGATTATCCTGCTGAACCAACATGTAAGTATGATAAACATTTTTTAACGACAGAAGATTATTTCTCCCATAAATGGAAACCCAATAGAGTAAGTAAATATGTCAGGTATTGGATGAAGAGTAAAATAATAGAGTTTCTTTAAATGGACATACCTCTCTGAAGAACCAGCACCTTACCGTGGTAGAGAGGTTTGTGTGCCCTGATGAACCTGGGGGCTGTGTTGTCTGGAACCTTGTGTTCCTGGTAGGGTCTCCCATGGCAAATTGGTCTCAGGCAAGGGGCCAGACTAAGATTGGTTCAAAAGACCTCATGAAAGAAAAACCAAGAAGTGAGGATACCCGACCCGGAGGAAGCCCGGGGTCCCCTTCTGGAGCCAGGCCCAGAGGACTCGTCGGCGAGCGTCTGGTGGCCGGGCTCCGTGGCAAGCCCGGCCACCAGACGCACAGCCCGAAAAGGCAATGTGGGCAACACCTCCGCTTCTCCGTCCCGCGGGCCCAACAACTACGGGAAACAGCAGAGGGTCTCGACGGACCAGACCCGGGTGACAGAAGCTGGCTTTGGGGACGTGGAACGTCACCTCTCTGGGGGAGAAGGAGCCGGAGCTTGTGCGGGAGGTGGAGCGTTACCAGTTGGATCTAGTTGGGCTCGCCTCTACGCACAGCGTCGGCTCTGGAACCTTACTTCTGGATAGGGGTTGGACTCTATTCTTCTCCGGAGTTGCTCAAGGTGTGAGGCGCCGGGCGGGTGTGGGGATACTCACAAGTTCCCGGTTGGGTGCTTCGTTGTTGGAGTTTACCCCAGTGGACGAGAGGGTCGCCTCCCTACACCTGCGGGTTATGGGGGGGAATACTCTGACTGCTGTGTGTGCTTATTCACCAAACAGCAGTTCAGAGTATACAGCCTTCTTGGAGACCCTGGAAATAGTCCTGTATGGGGCTCCTGAAGGGGACTCTTTAATCTTGCTGGGAGACTTCAACGCACATGTGGGCAATGATGGAGACACTTGGAGGGGCGTGATTGGGAGGAACGGCCCCCCTGATCTGAACCGGAGTGGTGGTTTGTTACTGGACTTCTGTGCTAGTCATGGATTGGCCATAACAAACACCATGTTCGAACATAAGGATGCTCATAAGTGTACGTGGTACCAGAGCACCCTAGGCAGAAGGTCCATGATCGATTTCGTTATCGTATCATCGGACCTGAGGCCGTATGTTTTGGACACTCGGGTAAAGAGAGAGGCGGAGTTGTCAACTGATCACCATCTGGTGGTGAGTTGGGTCGAGTGGCGGGGGAAGCCTCTGGATAGACCTGGTAAGCCCAAACGTGTAGTTCGGGTGAACTGGGAACGTCTGGAGGAGGCCCAAGTTCAGGAGGCCTTCAAGTCACACCTCCGGCGGAGCTTTTCGGAAATTCCTGTGGAGGTTGGGGACATTGAACCAGTGGTCGGTGTTCAAAGCCTCTATTGCCGAAGCCGCGGCGGGGAGCTGTGGTCTCAAGGTCTTAGGTAACCCTCGAACCTCCTGGTGAACACCGGTGGTAAGGGAAGCCATCCGACTGAAGAAGGAGGCCTTCAGGGATTTGTTATCCCGGGGGACTCCCGAGGCAGTGGCAAGGTACCGACAGGCCCGAAGGGCAGCAGCCTCAGCCGTGGCCGAGGCAAAGCAGCGGGTGTGGGAGAAGTTCGGGGAAGACATGGAAAAGGACTTTCAGGCGGCACCAAAGTTGTTCTGGAAAACTGTCCGACACCTCAGGAGGGGGAAGCAGGGAACCATCCAAGCTGTGTAAAGTAAGGATGGGACGTTGTTGACCTCAAATGATGGAGTGTTAGGGCGTTTGAAGGAACACTTTGAGGAACTCCTGAACCCGACAACTCCGCCCTCTATGTTAGAGGCAGAGCTGGAGTATGACGGGGGATCAACACCAATCTCCCGGGGGGAGGTCACTGAGGTCGTCAAACAACTCCACAGTGGCAAAGCCCCGGGGGTGGATGAGATCCACCCAGAAATGCTGAAGGCTCTGGGTGTTGAGGGACTGTCATGGTTGACACGTCTCATCAACGTTGCGTGGAAGTCGGAAACAGTACCGAAGGAGTGGCAGACCATGGTGGTGGTTCCCCTTTTCAAAAAGGGGGATCAGAGGGTGTGTGCCAATTACAAGAGGCATCACACTACTCAGCCTCCCGGGAAAGTTTACTCTAAGGTACTCGAAAGGAGGGTCAGGCAGATTGTCGAACCTCAGATTGAGGAGGAACAATGCGGATTCCATCCTGGTCGTGGAATGACGGATCAGCTTTTTACTCTCGCAAGTATCCTGGAGGGGGCCTGGGAGTACGCTTATCCGGTCTACATGTGTTTGTAGACTTGGAGAAGGCGTATGACCGAGTTCCCAGGGAGTTACTGTGGGAGGTGCCTGCGGGAGTATGGGGTGAGGGGGTCTCTAGTCAGGGCCATCCAATCTCTGTACTCCCAAAGCGAGAGCTGTGTCCGGGTCCTCGGCAGTAAGTCGGACCCATTTCCGGTGAGGGTTGGCCTCCGCCAGGGCTGCGCTTTGTCACCAATCCTTTTGTAATATACATGGATCGGATTTCGAGGCGTAGGTCGTGGGGGAGGGGGTCTGCAGTTTGGTGGACCTAAGGATTGCACCACTGCTTTTTGCAGATGATGTGGTTCTAATGGCTTCATCGGTCTGCGACCTTCAGCCACTCACTGGATCGGTTCGCAACCGAGTGTGAAGCGGCTGGGATGAGGATCAGCACCTCCAAATCTGAGGCCATGGTTCTCAGCAGGAATTGATGGACTGTCCACTCCAAGTAGGGAATGAGTCCTAACCCCAAGTGAAGGAGTTCAAGTATCTCTGGGTCTTGTTCTCGAGTGACGGAACAATGGAGCGTGAGATGGGCCGGAGAATCGGAGCAGCGGGAGCGGTACTTGCAGTCGCTTTACCGCACCGTTGTGACGAAAAGGGAGCTGAGCCAGAAGGCAAAGCTCTCTGTCTACCGGGCCATTTTCGTTCCTACCCTCACCTATGGTCATGAAGGATGGGTCATGACCGAAAAGAACGAGATTGCGGATACAAGCGGCCGAGATGGGTTTTCTCCGCATGGTGGCTGGCGTCTCCCTTAGGGATAAGGTGAGAAGTCCGGTCATCCGGGAGGGACTCGGAGTTGAACCGCTCCTCCTTCGCGTCGAAAGGAGCCAGTTGAGGTGGTTCGGGCACCTAGTTAGGATGCCACCTGGGCGCCTCCCTAAGGAGGTGTTCCAGGCACGTCCAGCTGGGAAGAGACCAAGGGTAGACCTAGGACCGGGTGGAGGGATTATATCTCTTCGCTGGCCTGGGAGCGCCTTGGGATCCCCCAGTCAGAGCTGGTTGATGTGGCCAGGGAAAAGAAAGTTTGAGGCTCTCTGCTGGAACTGCTACCCCCGCGACCCGACCACGGGTAAGCGGGAGAAGATGGATGGATGGATGGATAAATGGACATACAGTATACTCTCGTTAAGTACCTTGTAATTGAGTACAGCACTCTAGTAAATGTTCTTTGTTACTGTCCACCACTGGCCTTGATAATATGTTGGGTGTATCGGTTTAAATCTATGAAATTAATTTGATTTATATTTTTAGTCAAAATGAAGATCGCTGCCTTCAATGTCCAGAGACTAGGATGGTCTAAAGTCAACAAGAAGGACGTACGGAATATTATCATAAAGGTAACTCACCGTGCTGAAACACACAAGTTTGTTCTGTGTAATATTTCAGTTAATGTTTTTGTACATGGCGAGAAAATTAAAGGAAAGGAGCAGTTTTTTTATGCATTGAAAACATTTATAAAATTGAAATAGTCCTTTTAGTTCTATGCTTTCTTTTCTCTGTGGTTGTGTTTTGCAGATCATGTCTCAGTACAGCGTGGTGCTGCTGGTGGAGGTGACGGATAAGACAGGTGGTGATGCCATGGGACTGCTCCGCCAACACCTTAATGAATATGGGTGAGTTCTCCACACATAGCAGCACATTCATTTAAAGGGGCCCTATTCTGCAGGTTCAGGTTCAAAATGTGTTTTTAGGGTCCTGTGACATGTTTACTTGCTTTAATGTTCAGAAAGCTCTTTATTTTTCTCACACTGTGCTGCAGCACCTCTTTTCACTTTTGCCTAAAAACAAGTGTCAGTAATTAAATGTTATGGGGCATCTACAATGATACAAACAAATGATTGATGATTGTGAGAGATATTCAGTTCCAGTTGTTTCTGTTTTCTGGCAGAGATAACAGAAGTAATCCGTACCGCAAGCTGTGCAGTAAACCTCTGGGACCGGAGGGTAGACAGGAGAAGTTTGTCTACTTCTACAGGTCAGAAACACAAGTACAGACAATCCTGTGTGTGGTTAAAATACCTTTTAGGGCAACCAGTTTCTTTATTGTAGAGACAGACCTAACATGGGGAGTGATGACAGACGGCAAATGGTCATCGAACTGGATTCAGACCAAGCCTCAGTACACATCAATCTACCAATTGAGCTTTACGTTATGTCTCACAGGAATTAAAATATGTGTTAAATTGGTAACAGCCACATTCAATTGGATAATTATGATTGAAAAACTGTGTGGAATATCAAAGACAAAAAATCAGTAATGTTGATTTTTGAACCAGTAATCTGTGACACATTACATTACTCTTCTTTGAGACGCTTGACTTCAATCTTGTAAGTCCTACAATTTATTTGTTGTCTATGGTCCGGTAACTAAGACCCAGAACATCATAGGCTTTACAAATCATCACATTGTGCCGTTGGGCCAAACTCTACACACATTTCCCACAAGGCTCTACTGAAAAAGTTCAAGTGGTTTATGAGCTATCTCACTAACTAATAAAAATACATGAATAAACAAATAAAGCATAACATGTGTTTATAAGCTTTATAATACAGTACATGTTTGTGGCTTTGTGTTTTAGAAAGAAAGAAGTGGAGATAATAAGATGCTACCAGTACGTAGGAAAGGATGAAGATGTGATCACCAGACAGCCTTTCATTGTCCGTCTCAATTGTCAAAACACAGGTATTTGTTTGTGTGTGTTTGTGTTTTTTAGACTTTCATTTGTGAGGATCAATTTGGGTTTTGTGTCCTTTATGGATTATGAGGAAACTTTGGCTTGTTCAATATTTTGGTACAGACCTGCAATGGACTGTTTGAATGTTAAAGCACTTCTTTAGTTAAAATATGGGTTAAAGGTTAGGCACCATTTGTTTGTTTATGTAGGTCCTCACAGGTGTGTTTCTGTGTGTTTGCATATGTCTTGCACGGCTATCATTGTGAGGACCACTTGGATTTTTAGGTCGCATTCACACCAGCCTTATTTAGTCCGGTGGAATCGAACCCTGGTGCGTTTCACCACTTGGTGCGGTTCGTTTGGGTCGGTGTGAGCGCAGTCTGAGACCTCTGATGTGAACTTAACAACCTAAAAGAGGTGGTCTCGGACCGCTTGAACTCTGGAGCGGTTCATCTCTGGTGTGAACGCAGTCCGCACCAAAACATAGGAAGCGTGGTATTTACGAGTCACAAGAATGCGGATATCTTCAAAAATCATTAGTGAAAGAGTAAAGCAGGATGAAGTGTTGAACAGTGTCGTGTAAAGTAAAAATGCTCCGTCAACTATACATTAAAGTCAGAGCCACCTGTCGTCGGTGAAACCTCCTCCTGACTGCAGAACGTCTGTCAGTGTTATAATGTTTTTTCTCACGCGTTTTCTGATTATATAATCATATGCACCGGCCGCTAGACTCTGTTGATATGCTCTCCAGATTGACAGCAGCATGAAAATAACCTGCCAGTGCTCCATGGCGGAGGCTACGGTAGAAATTGCCGGGATTTGCGTTTTTACCCCCTTAATGTCTGACCGCTGAATGTCTTAATGTGTGCACATGTACAAATGTGTCATTGATTGTGTATTGATAAACGTTATTTCGATCTCTCTGTCTGTACACACAAACTGGAAGATTGACAATAAAGTTGACTTTGACTTTGAGAAGCGGACTATTAGGTGTGAAGGCAACCTAAGTTGTGAGGACCTTTCTATATTGTGAGGTCCTAACTTTACGAAAGACATAAATGGACTGTTTAAACATAAATACTTTTTTTTAAATTAGACTTAGGTTGCGATAACGGCGTGTGTGTGTGTGTTTGCCTCCAGTTGTGCAGGATCTGGTGTTGATCCCGGTCCACACCAAACCAAAAAACGCAGAAGCGGAGCTGAACGCTCTTCATGACGTGGTTGAGGTTGTGAGGAAAATATGGAATAATGATGTAAGTGTTTAAAATATAATTGATGGGTTTGAGAGAAAAACAATGTGGTAAAATCTTTACATTTAACATTAACCATTTTGTGTTTATCATGATATTAAGTGATGGGTTTTTGAGGGATTAGGCCTACATAGTTTTGTTTAATTTTGTTTCTCATGTAAGCAAACTTGTTTAAGCTTTGAATACCTTCAGTCGTGTTTTTCCATTCTGAATTTGGTTGTGTTGTTCTTTCTTCTGCAGAACATTATGATTTTGGGAGACTTTAATGCCGATGGACCGTATCTCTCCAAGAAGAAGAAAACGCTCCGTATCTTATCGGCTCCTTATCATTGGCTGATAGGCGATGATGTCGACACCACGACTACTAACACAAAAAAAAGCACCTACGACAGGTAATACACAATTAATTGTTACAGTTTAATCCAAGCATATTTTGTGTTTGTTAAAAAAAAAGAATTGTGCTGCATTTCCAAACAACAGGATCGTGGTTTACGGAGAGAGCATGCTGGAGGCCATCGTCCCCAACTCAGCCAAAGCCTACAACTTCAAGAGAGAGTTGAACTTGAAAGACAAACAAGTGAGACTCATGTTTAGGTGTTGGGTATCGTTGGTACAGTCTACCCTACTGTAACACTGAAACCTGCTGAAGTGACACAGCCCGACCCATTACCGGTTTAAACACATATATTTAGCTAGCTAGCTAGCTAAAGTTAGCTATCTACTTTACAAACTAGGAAACATTTGCTCTCTATCTCACTTAGCTAGCTAGTTTATGTTAGCTATATATCTAACAAGATAGCTAGCTAATGTTAGATATCTAGCTGACTATTTACAAATGTGTGGCTCGCATAACTTAGGACTATTATTTAATATCCTACGAGTCATTTTAAAAACACTGTTGACTTTTATTAAGCTGACCGACTGCTGTCAAATAGCCAGCAGCTGCTCACAGCTGGAAACATCTTTTAAATTCCCAAATATTCGTTGTTTGGATAATCAAATCACATAATGGTTATCTAAATGGTTAGTTTCTTACCCGGAAACGTGTTACAACTTAATAACAGTCATTCAAAAGCTTTAAACACTGTTTCTTTGTTAAACAAATGTTGATGAAGATGGCATCCCTTTTCCAAGTAATAGCGCACATGCTCTAACCGGAAGAACAAACACAAAATAAAGCAATGTGGAAACACCCCAGAGCAGGCAAAGCATGAGGTGAATTATTGACACTATTAAATGATATTTTCTGTCCCACACGCAGAGTGTCAGTAATCATTACCCTGTGGAGGTGGAGCTGGAGGTGAAGCCGGAGGTGGAGCAGATGGAGGAGGAGATGAGGAAGCTGGAGCTGAAGCAGAAAGCTCAGAGAAAAAGGAATCCAGAGAAACCCTCGACTGGAGGAAGACCTCAGGGTAAAGATGTCTCTTGTTTCATCAACATCAGTGACACATATTAGACATAGGAGTGTATTTAGTTATGTTTTTATGGCTCTTGCTGCATCATGAATCTCACATTAACAATATCATCAAATCAGTTTCAGGAGCCCAGAAGAAAAAGGCCGGGCCGGCAGACACAAAGGGGAAAGGAGTGTAAACCAAGAGAAGAGGAACCAATCTTCAATATTTTATTATCTTAAAGTAGTTTTAGTTATTAGCTTTTAGTGAAGAGCGCTATTCAACCCTGTGACCCGTTTCAAGTTAGGGTAAGTAATGTGTTTTGGGGCCATCAAATACAATTACAACAGGATTGTACGGTTATGAATGCATAATAAGTTAGTTATGATGTAGTTAAAACAATATTGGATGATTGGATGAACACCCTGAACGGTAACAGCTTTCGAACACAACACAAGGGTTAAGTGTATGAACAGAATAGAGCTTGTATTGCTTCTTGATGTTTTTGATGCAACTTCAAGTTCAGCAACAGAACAGTTTCTAGTAATGTAGGAGGCATTTTGTTAAAGGGGACCTATTATGCAAAATGTACTTTTTGATGTCTTTTATACATAAATATGTATCTCCTGTGTGTCAGGGAACTCACAAACTCTCTTGTCAGAAAACAAAACCCTCTCTCTTTTCCTCCGTATACCCACATCTCTAAAAAACAAGCAGATCCAGAATTGTGGCTTTTACGTCATTGGCGACATCCAGCACACGTGACGCGTCCCAACCTTTCGTCTCCGGCACACGTGACACACGTAACACGTCCCAACCTATCATCTCCAGCACACGCGACGCGTCCCAACCTATCGTCTCCGGCACACGTGACACACGTAACACGTCCCAACCTATCATCTCCGGCACACGTAACACGTCCCAACCTATCATATCCGTATACAGCTAAATCCCCTCACAGCTGTGTGTCTGTGTATTCAGCAGGATATCTGCATGAGGCACTTAGAGTAAAGTGGTTATATATAATACATATAATGGCACTGTTCTAGTGGTAAACACTTAAAGCTGACCTATCATGCTATATTTGAACAATATATTGTAGGGCCATACCTATATAAAGTATATAAATATATATATTTTTTTCAAAATGCAAAACAGATCCTGCATTTTAGCCATGCCTCATTTCGCTCTATTTGCTCTTTCCAGCCCTGTTTTTGCAGGGGGCTGATTCTGTGAGCTGCAGCTGACCACGCCCCCCTGCAGGAGAGGGGAGCGTGCTTTGAGATCAGCTGCTAGGCTGCAGCCGGGAGAAGAGGGGCACAAAAAGAAATCTCCGTCCTCCGTGTTTTATTCTTATATGATTATATAGAGTCATTATTCATTTGTTTGAAAGCTCAGTAAATAACAAAGAAGACCTTTGACCGGAACTTTTCTAATTTTGTCCGGAAGATTTAAACTTTAACGGACATGTTGACCGGCGAAAAAAAATCTAACTGAAACTCTGCCGCACGGTCCCCTCGTTCCTTGGAAGAGGCGGAGAGGTGGGTGTTTGTCATCTGCTGGTGGACTACCGGAGATAATTACAGTGAGGGAGGGATTGCATTGAATTACAGCAGCAGGAGGAGCAAACGCTTGCCTCGGGGAGGGAGAAAAAGAGCCACAGCGGAGAATAAACAGAAGGGCAACCATGCGCAGGAAGTCTTCTTCACTGCTTTTGTGGCAGACTACAGCGCCACTTACAGGCCTGGCATATGTAATACAGCGTCTCCAGCGCTTTCGAGTGGCAATGGCCGGCTGTGGCCCAATCTCTCATTCCCCTGATAGGTGGAGAGTTGGCCATATAGGCAGAGCACCACTTCTGTGACGTAGAAAATAATTACAATCTGGATCAGCCTGTATCAGATCCGTTGCAGCCCCGTTTTTAGAGATTTGGGTATGGAGGAAAAGAGAGAGGGTTGTGTTTTCTGACACTTGGTGAGTTCCCTGGAACACCGGGAACACATATTCATGTATAAAAGACATAGAAGAGTGCATTTTGCATGATAGGTCACCTTTAAGAAGAACATGTGCTGTATCAGAAAAAATGCGCGGTGTGTTTTGGGAGCTCTGTGTTTACAATAGCAAGCATGCTAACACTCAGAGCTAACCATGGAGCTAACGCTGTAGGCTACTGGAGAGAATATGTGTAACTAATGTCCTTGAGGTAAACCTTGCGAGAGAGAAAGGTTTGAGCCCCATACCGTTTCAGAAATAAAGCTTGAAGTGATTAGGAGCATAACAAGGCATTTAATCACCACAGTGTTTAGCTGAGATCTCCTGGTAGAAAACTCTCTTAGCAGGGGAAAGCTGCGTGACGCTACAAAGGGGCGTGGCTAGCAGCAGACGTTGAATTTAAAGCAGAATAAGCCAGTTTGGAACAGGGCTGCAAAAGAGGGGTTTGAGCAGTATGAGGCATGGCTACAATGGGTGATCTGTTTGGTATTTTAAGCAAAAAACTTCACAGACATGTTTTGTATAGGTATGGCCCTACAATATATTTAAAAAATATAGCATAATAGGTCCACTTTCAATGAAAACTATTTTAACTAAATTCATAGAATCAAAATGTTTGTTAAATGAGGTAGATGGTGAACACGTCGTTTTCAGATTTGTTTATCAAAGTAATTTAACTATTTGCACTGGCTTTTAATACTAGTTGAAAATTACACGTTTACATTTGTATGTGTTTTTATATGTTTCTAGTTATTGTGCTTTTTATCATGTTTTCAATTATCGTTTTATTATTTTACTCCCATTGTGTTATTTTATGTTGTATTTATTCCCTGTACAGCACTTTGGTCAACTGAGGTTGTTTTAAATGTGCCATATAAATAAGTAAAGATTGAGATTTGGTGGGAAAAAAAAGTAGTGTGACTTCGGTTAGTTCGGATTCAGCAAAAACAAACAAATAAAGTATCCGACAACTATCCTCAAGGTAAAGCACTTAAATGATTCTAAATATAGAATATATATTTAATTGGCTAAAATACATTTAGCAGACTGTCACGTCTACAGCAATATGTTTCTGAGCCAAACTGACGAGGATAAGTTCCTCATATCACTTCAATATAACCAAACTATCCATTTAAACTATGTTCACTGACGCATGGCATATTACAGTATATCACTGCTTTTTTACTAACAATGCTTTTTGTTATCTGCAATAAAAAATAATCATGAAATTATATTTTGTGCTTTCTGTGTCATTAGAAACGCCATGCATAATTGTATTAGGTTAATGTAGTGGAGTTTTTAGAGTTTTTTAACAGCTGTTAACAAGAAATGTGGTTAAATTAATACAAGTTTAAAAATGTTGTATCCATATTGAACTCCTACATGTTGTATATAAAGATTCTGCTGAAATCACAATGTGTGTTTCGGTTCCCATCATATTCTTTTGTATCACTTGTACAGACACGGCATGGACAGGTGCGCTACTTTGTGAAAGAAAACATACAGATGGTGATGAGCTGCACGAGCTAACCAAAGTCTTTACGGTTTTATGAAGAATCTCTGTCAGAATGATCCGATGAATAGTAATAGTAGTACATGTCCTGATGTTAACACAAGGCTGTTGTTCCCATTGTGAACATTCAACCAGGACCAACTTCAAATGTTATTACAGTTTTTTCCCTGGTCTTCTCTAAAGAAGAGGGACCAATGGAAACGTTGTCATGTTGCCGTTGTTCAGCATGGAAACATTCATTAGCTAACAATGACATTATTGTTCTATTAATATAAAGGGAGGTCAGGTATTCTTTAAAGCAGCTGCTAGTTATGGGTACTTTTTACTGAAGTACATTTAGAAGCCTCTTTATTTTGACTTGATTAAATAAGTTTAGTCAGTACTTCTACTTTACCAGAGTATTTTTAAACACGAGTATCTGTACTTCTACTTGAATAAAGGATGTGTGTACTTTGATCTCTGCAGAGAGGAGGACGGTCAGTGGAAGGAGGACCAGAAGCTGGAGGCTCTCAGTGATTGGGTGAGAGACGTCGACTGGGCTCCGTCCATCGGGCTGCCCACCAGCACCATCGCCAGCTACTCCCAGGTCAGTTATTACAGATGAAATAATATAAGATATACTTTATTGGACGTTGTGCGATTGCGTTGCCAAGCAACAGATTCGGTTCATGTTAATTTACAAACTCTTCAACTAGAACCGTAGTTATATTTAAAAACATTTTAGAAGGCCTCACGAAATACTTTAATGTAAATTAAAATTAAAATCTGAAGGAATGTGTGTATAACAAAATACATCCGTCATAAACATAAACCTTGAACCCTTGAACCTTGAACAATACCGGAAACAGATGTAGGTAAGATCCTCAGCTCAATGATTGGATGGTTTAGCCGCAATGCACGTTGGGATTTGGTGTTTATGCGATGTGAAATCTGAAAACATTTAAAAAGAATAAAATAATACTTTATTCCGAGTGTTCTTGCTTTTCTCTTTGAAAGTCATCACATAACGGCATTGTAATACACGGTTCGGCTGCATTAAATATTACATATATGCCGTAGTTCTCTATTTATAGAGCCCTGATGAGAAACATCAGGGCTTTGTTCTAGACAAACAGGAAGAAGTGCTGCCAAAACTGAAAACGTGACGTGGATCATAATTATATCATCAATTAAACAACATCTTACATTTATTTTCACACAATACGTCTCCTTGCAGTATCAACACTAATTCGGCTGACTTTTATATTTGATCCAATTGGTAGATAGGCTGTATTTACACCATAACGGTGCACAGCTGATAGAAAGGGACACCTAAGCCGCATTCACACTGCAGGACTTTCCCTGGTACTTTGGTTCTTTAGTTCCGTTAGTACCAATAATGTCACGTTCACACCGCCGGGAACTCTTTTGGCCATTTTCAGTCCCTGCTAGAGAGGTGGTACGAACCTGGTGATAAAATAGTGCCAATTTCTATTCTATTTCTATTGGCTGGGTGAATTGCAAACCACGCCCCGTTAGACTCTGAATTTGTTTTGTTAGGCAGCCATTTTCAGCAGCTTCTACAGAAAGCAGTTCCCAACTCCAAATGTTTTGAGCGATGTTCGCAAAAGCTACTTGAGCTGGGAATCGTGCACAGTGCACACGGATGCCGGGTAAAAATAAAGAAACTCAGGCAGGAATGTCATTTGTTTTAGATAAATAAGGGAAAAACACCAAACAAGGGTTAATGTCCTTTTCCAAAATCAGCCTGAGGGGGTAATATATAATAAATACATAAAGATAAAGTCCATTGTTATAATGGGGTATTTTATTTGTAAATTACCCTTATTACCCTTATGAACTCCATCATGTCTAAGGTCGGAAAGTAAACAAACACCTCATAGAGCGGGTGGGCTTTATACCCCCTCCCCCGTGTAGTTCTTCTTCTCTCGTTTTTTTGTATTCGCTGTGAAGTGGTTTTGCGGCCTGCCAGTAAACCCAGAGAAGAAGAAGACGAAGTGACGTCAGCGTAATCTTGCCTCAGGGAAAGTACTGCGGTGTGAATGTGATTGGCACTAGCCCCCTGTAGGATTCAGTGC